AACCAGGTGGGYGCTTTGGCAGGGGGGCTGCTCCCAGGTTTGTCAGCATTGTGGACTGCGCAGCTGTGCAGAATGTCTGTATTTGGCTGTATGGATGAGAGAATAAAGGGCTTTACCTGTACAGAACATGCTAAATATTGTGCATTTACCCCCTGTAAACCCACCTGCARTGATGTATCTGTACAGTCACAAAATCCCTGAGTGTGTTTCTCACATCCATTGCCCCCTGCGTTGTTCTCTGTGCTCTCCATTTCTGTAAATGACTGTGAGACCAAATGGCAACGTGTTGTATTCCTGAGAGGCTCAGTCAGTCCTGAAAACAGGAGAAGGCTTCAGCAAGATTCACAGCTACAAGTTAAAAAAGAGTAATGGCATTTCTCTCGAATTCCAGGCAAGATGGGATGAGCACAACAGCCGAACACGCCTCAAAGATCGTGTCACCACCATAGACAGATGGAGAGAGGCCCTGGCCAGATGCCTCACAGAGATGGATGCGGAAATCGATGCCTTAACCAAAGTATGTTGGGAAGGCAGATGGCTGGAAATGAACTTACACTCTCTAGATGGGATGTGAAAGAATTGAGGCTTGTCTTTTGCAATGGGCAAGCCCATTATGAAGTTTAAGGGGGGCTTCTCACTAGATATATTTACATATACATATATATATATATATATATATTTCATACCGAGATCCATATGACTTTCTGGAAAGACTTTCTGGAAAGCAAACCACTGTGTTCTTGGCTGAGCCAAGCCATGTCATGCAACTGTACATTGCACGCCCTTGTTTGGATTCCTGGGTAATTTTGTTGTTTGGACTTTTTACAAAGCTCTGAAGGATAATAAGAAWTATGTTAACACCATACTTCAAAAACGTTTGGTTTTAAATAGAGAATAGGAGTGGGATATCTCTAATACTGTGAGTTCTAAACCCAGAGGCTGCTGCTGCTTCTGGAGTTGTTGATCCCCAGCAAGGTGATTCCCAATGCAACTAGCAGGKGTAGGGGATTTGGGTGTTTGGCTCTGGCAATTTTTATTCCAGACTTGCTAAAAGGTTTCAGAACTGCAAAGATCAACAGTGTGAGTCCCTCTTAATGGTGATATGGGTGGGTTTCCCTTCCTTTCTTCCTCCCATCCCTAGAAGATCCACCCCACACCTGGTTGACTGCTTCTTCCAGGTGAAGGAGGCAGCAGAAAATGCCCTTCAGGCAAAAAACTTGTGGTTGGATGTTGCCATTGAGTGTCTGACATTCCGTGAGAGCCGTCGTGACATTGACGTGGTSAGGGACCCTGTGGAAGAGGAGCTAGTCAAAGAGGTGAAGACGATTGAGAAAGTCAAGAAAGAGCTGCAGCAGCGAGTGGATGAAGCCTTCAAACAGCTCTGGTGAGAAATGACTCAGCTTTTGGCCAATGACTCTGTTGTCCTTGCTTGGCCCCAGATATTTAATGTGCCTCTAATGCCATGCTGAGATGGCAAGGCAGGCAGGGAACCACACAGGAACCTTGGATAATTATCAAGGTCTGTGGGCTGGAAGGGAAGGGTGTGTAAGGGAGACTTCACAATCACCCTTTGGAAATTTTGTCCCAGATCTCTTGTGCCACCTGCCTTGGTTCAGGAATCAGTGGCCAGGCCCTGATACTCTGTGGGAATCCTTCACAGCTCCATTCTCCAGAGCCTGGGGCAGCCAGGCAGGCAGTGTTGCGCAGGTTGGGCCCAGTTCCAAGGGAGGGTGGGAGCTTATCATTCATTTCACAAAGATGACTGACATGGTGATAAAGGCTTTGGGAGTTGTGAGCTGCCCCTGCCCTGGGCCTGCTCCCTCCTGACTCCAGCCCGGCTCTCTGCAGCCTCTTAAAGGAAGCTCGTCAGGAGCTGAGCCTTGACCACCGGCACAAGGTGGAAGCGTTGGAACTTGATCGGCAGTGCTTGGCCTTCAATGTCAACTCTGGCAACATATCCTTCAAGGTCAACCCAACACGGGTCCCAGACGGGTAAGGAAAGAATCTGTCCTTATGTGGCCAAATCTGCACTGAGCCCTGGGATGCATTTTCCTTCCATGCTGAGACCTGGCTTGATGGGTACAGTTTTGGAGAGAGCTCAGAACAGAAGTTGCCTGTGGCATGGGGAAGCCACAGACTTTTGGCAGGTAGCTAAAYTGCCACCACAAACCCAGCGGGGACAGGTGCCCTGCCTCCTTCCTGCCTGGCTGTAGGTGACACTCATGGTGTGGTGTCACCTCTGGCACAGCTCAGGGGGACCTGCTGCACATTTGCACTTGCTTAGCACTCCATTCCATGGTTTGGATGTGTTCCTGGGTGGAGTAGATGTTGGGCCTGAGAAGACCAGGCAAGATGTGCCCTCAGCTTTCCAGAATCATTTTGTGCTGCCATCCTGGCCTGCAGCAAGTGGTTCCTTTAAACTGTCTTGCAAACACTCATTTTCAGAACTGATTTGTTCATAGAGCAACTGCACTTCGTGAGTGGGAACTGAACAGCCAGCACAACAAGGACCGTGCTGAGGCAGAATTGAAAGCCTCAGTTGATCTCAGAGGAGCAATCACACTTACCATTGCCCAGGTAAACTGCTYGCTTGGCTGGGAATCCATGGTGCCATTCTGGATCGGGTGTGGGAGAGAGTGGCAGGCATGTCTCTGGGTCTGTCTGGGAGCAGCTGCCCTCCTGGTTTAAGTAGKAGCTTAGTTATGCTGCAGAGCTTGCAGCAGTCACAGCAAGCTGGAGGACACATCCCTGTCCATCAATCCTTGCCTTTTGGCTACTGGGGGAGTGTGACCTGCACATSTGTGGCAGCAGCCAAACCCAGCTGGTTTTGCCCCTGGGTTTGTCCCAGCCTCCCAGGCACATCTGGAGGGGACACAGATGCCTTGTAGCCATGTGTGACTGGAACTGTTCTGTCCTCAGACAAACAATGAGCTGGATGCTCAGCGTATAGCTACAGAGTTTGCCATAAGGAAGAGGATGAGAGACATGGAAGGAGCCCTTAGTGAGCTGAGGTGGCAGGAGAAGAATGTAAGTGTTGGTTCTTTGGTCACTTACYACAACCTTGGCTGGGAATGGAATCCCAAAGTGTCAGTGGACCCTCATGGCCTCAGGGTAGTTTCCACATGCTTGCTGTTTAGTGGCACATGTATGATCCAGCAGTATCCCACCTCTCACAGGTGCTTCTCTGGCRCTGCTTGGCAGCACTGCCAGGTTTGGGCCTTTTTATTTCACCCYTGGTCTCAGCAGCACCATCCTGGTCCAAGCAAAGGATTCAGTCCTCAGAAGCCCTTGCGTAAAATCCATCCCCAGCACAACAAAATTCCCAGAGACATGGGGGCCATTTCCCAGTCYGTAACCCCGGCTGTCCCTCATGACACATGTCATTATCCTTAGACCTTGGATGAAATTGCTGACATGGAGGAGGAGATCCGACAGCTGGAGGAYGATATCCGGAAGAGAACACTGGATCTGAAAGTGGCTCACACTCGCCTGGAGACTCGCACGTACCGGCCCCACATTGAGCTCTGCCGRGATCAGGTACCTGACCTGGCACGGTCCCTGCAGGGAACTGACTGGGAAGGTGGCTCTGAAAAACGTGCATGAGTTTTGGAGCAGCTGAGCAACGGATCCTACAGTGACATAGCAAAACAGGGAAATGTCACAGCTGGGGGAGAGGGGAATGAGGGAACCCCGGCCTTTTTGAAAGCCCTGTTAAGTGCTGTTCCCTCCTCCCTGCAGGCTCAGTAYGGACTGACAGATGAGGTCCAGCAGCTGGAGAAGACGATCCGTGCGCTCCAGGACAAGCGGACAGAGTCACAGTGAGTGTCCTTCTCTCCAGGCAGAGTGTCCCACAGTGTGCTGGGAGGATGTGGCTCTGGCTGTCCCTGCCCCTGGCACACCTCCTGCCTTTTGGAGCTTGTGGCTCAYGGGAGGCAACAGCGTTTGGGCTTGGTGGGTGCAGGGTACAGGCACGAGGTGTCTGTGGTGGGAGGAGAATGGGGCTCCCACAGCTCCTGCTGGACTCTGATTTCATCCAGGCCCTGACTCTTCCAAGAGGAACAAMAAAGAGGGTGAAAAGGAAGAAACAGAAGTGCTGCTGTGGGCTGGCAGCRGTRTGTGGGCTCACTATTCACTGCCCCAAACTGAGTATCTGATGAGTTTGCTCTTTGTACAGGGCCAAATGCTGCCAGAAAGTGGGAAGTTGGGTGTTTCCTGTCCCTTTTAGAATCATGGAATATCTTGAGTTGGGAGAGACACACTAGAATCACGGAATCCAACTCCTGGCCCTGCACAGGACACCACAACACTCCCACCTTGTGCTTGAGARCATTTCCCAAATGTTCCTTGAGCTCTGGCAGGGTCATGGCTGTGACCATTCCCTGGGGAGCATGTTCCTGGGAAGAAATGCAGCATTTGATCCCAACTCCTGTCACTTCTGCTCATTCCCAGGAATACCTTGGATGGTCTTTACCGACAACTTCACCGCATACAGACTGATATTGGCTACAAAACCAATTCTCTGCAGCTGGACAACAAGTGCATGGTCAGCCGGAGAAAACTTGTGGTCCCTGTGGAGAAATTTGATCCAGAGGTTGACGCTGTCAGCCGCACCAGGAACCTGCCGAATAAGAGTGAGCTGGAGCTGGCTTAGCACACCCGGAATTGTGCAAGCGCGGAGGGGAAATCTCCCAGTGATTCAGTTCTGCAGCAAGGAAAAGGGACATCTGCGTCGTGTTTGGGGAGAATGGAATTCTCCTCCTAGTTTGTTTTATAACTGTCTGGCCCTTGGATGATGCTTACAGCCTCCCGCGCTCCGAGGAGATTTATAAACAATAAAGGGCCTGTCCCCGGTTGTCATCCGCAGTGATTAAATCCATCTGGATTCCAGGAGGGATTAAGGGAGCAGGCGGGTGCGCTGTGGGTCATCCGAGCCGCCAGGGGGCAGTGTGGCGCAGCGCCTWTGGCCGTTCCGCRCACASCGCCCCCTGGCGGCCCGCGGGGAGAAGGCGCCGCGCACTGAAGATGGCGGCGGCGRGTCCGGCCTCGGGCCCCGGGCGGGTCCCGGCTCGTCCCCGGCCCGGCCTCGCTCGGTTCCGGGGCTGCTTGGCCGGGGCGTTGTTGGGGGATTGTCTTGGAGCTGTTTTCGAAGGCAGGAGCGTCGTGAAGCTGCCGGAGCTGCTGAGTTTCCTCAAAGGGCTGGAACCKGCGCCGCCTGAGGAGGGAGGGGAGGCGGCGGGCAGCGCACGTGGAGGTGCGTGCGGGAGAGCGGGAACGGGGGCGGGGTACATCCCCTGGTCCCCCCTTCACACAGCCCGCCGCGCACGGCATTCGGCACCCCGGAGATTCGGGATAGGCTTCAGCACTCCCCGGGACTGCTTTGGGGTGCGTGTGTGCCCCACGCTCAGAACCCCCAGGATTGGGGTTTGGGGGCTGTGTGTGTGTTCCTTCTTCCTCAGAACCCCCAGGATTGGGCTTTGGGGGCTGTGTTTGCGTCCCTCCTTCCTCAGCACCCCCAAGATTGGGCTTTGGGGGCAGCGTGTGTGTCCCTCCTTCCTCAGAACCCCCAGGATTGGGGTTTGGGGTGTGGCTCGTACCCCCAGGCGCAGTGCCCGCCCCAAATTTGGGTGSTCCCAGTCCTTAACCCACACTTTGTCGTAGGGCACCTCCCTTGTGACAGCCGTGGTTGTCCCCCTGTCCTGTCTGCCTGTGCTGTAGGGGTTCAACCCCCTGACCATTCTGGTTCCCTGAGGATTATTTAAGGATTCCTTAGGAACGCGGCTGGTGTGAAGGAACCCGTGTCTTGCTGTGCTCAGCCCACRCTGTTCTTGTGAAGGGGAAGCCGTGGTGTGGATATGCTGGGAATGGGTGTGGCAGTGCTGGGCTGTCAGCAGGGAGCAGAGGTATCAAAACTTGAGGAGAGTGAATGAAGCATGGAGTTGTTATTTAACTCCTAAGAAGTGATTGCAACCTTTCAGTGCCTGAGGGGAGCCTGCAGGAAAGATGGAGACTATTGACAAGGGCCTGGAGTGACAGGACAAGGGGAATGGCTTCCCACTGCCAGAGGGCTTGGTTCCATGCGATATTGGGAGAAAGTTCTTCCTGTGAAACCAGTGAGGACCTGGCACAGGTTGGCCAGAGGAGCTGCGGCTTTCTCATCCCTGGAAGTGTCCCAAGGCCAGGTTGGACGGGGCTTGGAGAGCCCTGGGATAGTGGAAGGTGTCCCTCTCCATGGCAGGGGGTGAAACTGGATGAGCTTTAAGGTCCCCACCAAACCAAACCATCCTGGGAATCTGTGATTCTGTGTTGGCCTGTCTCTTGTCTGTATGCACCTGTGAATGTCAAACCCTTTCTCCTTGCTCTTATTAATCTTGAAGTAAATTCTGTGTCCTTCTAGCTGTGGATGCAGCTCCCTGGCTCTGTCTCCTTCCTTTGATGACCATGGCAGTGTCAAACTCAGAGTACTGTGGAATTGAAATCCTAGACAGGTTTCAGTTGGAAAGGACCTAAAGCTCATCCATTCCCACCCCCTGCCTTGAGCAGGGACACCTTCCACTATCCCAGGTTGCTCCAWGCCCYRTCCAACCTGGYCTTGGACACTTCCAGGGCAGCCACARCTGCAACCTGTGACACTCAGGCCTTGGAGATGAGGGCGGTGCTGGCCAAGGGCAGGAGTGGTTTGTCCCTGGCTGGAGGTGTCACTCTTTGCCCTCCCATTGCAGAGTCGCTGCCGTACACGGATGACACGGCCATGAGCAGGTCGGTGGTGCAGTCTCTGCTGGCCAAGCGGGAGTTTGATGAGGTCGACATGGCCAAGAGGTGAGGATGAGGCTTCCTGAAGGTGAAACCRTCACTGTGATTGTCTGTGGAAGGGAGCAGGGGCTGGGGCAGAGCCGTTGCTAATTCGTGGAGAGGAAGAAATTAGGAAAGAGGTGGTTAATCATTTAGTTTGTTGTTGCTTTGCCATGCCTTGGTCTGTGCAGCAGTATCAGCTTCAGTGTGAAGTCCAAGGCTGCCTTGACCCTACTGYGTGTCAGCCCTGTATGTGTTCACCTTTGGGGAGCAGAATGCTTGGAAATTCCAGAAACATTTAATTTCATGTTTATTTGTTACTATTTATGTTTGTACTGCCCTTAATTTAGTGAGGGAATAGGAGTGAGCTCAGCTTGACTCTGTTTATGATCTGTTTCCCTGTTGAATCCCCAGCGCTGGGAGCATTTGGTTCCACTTAAGGGAAAGTATTTCTTTGTTTAGAAAACTCTTCCATTGAACTTGAACAAAAGACTTTCCTTGTGGTTGTGACCCACGGAAATGTTTCTAGTTTGCTTCTATTTTGAGGCAGAGTTGAGAGGGAAACAAGTGGGTTATGAAAGGTGATGTTTATACATCCTCCTTTCACACTGTTTTTTGGGAATTGTTTCTCTGCAGAGCTGTCWCTGAGCCCTGACTGTCACTGATTTACCTGAGTGTTACTAATTCACTGTAGCAAGAGGCTTCAGGCAATCACAGACCCCAATAACAGGGGTGCTTTCCCCCCTGCCCACACCAGGTTTGCCGAGGAGTACAAGAAGGAGCCCAACAGGGGTTATGGGATGGCCGTGGTCAATGTCTTCAAGAAGCTTTTGAGCCCCAAGTGCAACGATGTGTTTGAGCCCGCGAGAGCGCAGTTCAACGGGAAGGGCTCCTACGGGAATGGCGGGGCCATGAGGGTGGCYGGCATCCCCCTCGTCTACTCCGACATCCAGGATGTCAAAAAGGTAACGGAATGTTCTGGGCTGCTCTGGGCATCCCTGCTGCCTGGGGAGTGCCCCAGGAGCTTTGCTGACACCGGGGTTTCTTTGGCAGTTTGCGAAGCTGAGCGCAGAGCTGACCCACGCCAACTCTCTGGGCTACAACGGGGCCATCCTCCAGGCCCTGGCCGTGCACCTGGCACTGCAGGAGGGGCTCAGCAGGGAAACCTTCCTGGAGCAGCTCATCAGCCACATGGAGCACGTGGAGGCAGATGACAAGTCTCTCAGTGACGCCCGAGCGTGAGTAGATGTGAGGAAGCCCCAACCTGCTGTGGTGGTTTGTTCTGGCTCTTCACGTTCTCTCCCCTTTACTGCACTCTCTGCAGGCTGGGATTTGAGGATTTACCATTTTCCAGGCGTCTAAAGAAAATCAAGGAATTTTTGGAGTTRAGCAGTGTTCCCAAAGCAGATGTATTGTTTGAATTGGGTGAGTACCTTTCTTAGTGCAAGCCTTAGGAGAGAGCTGGAAGCAGGACTAACTCAGCAAGACTGGTAGATGTGTCTTCAGATTCCCCTTTGGCCTTTGCTGCTTGTCAGGCACAGAATGTGCTGGTAAAACTGCCTGTGCTCACCAGCTGGGAATTCTGAGTCTCAATCCAGCGATTCCCTCTGTAATGGCAGGAAAGAAAGAAGTCTTGTTAAGGAAATGTTAYCTTCATAATGTTTCTTAATATTCCAAGATCTCTAAAGGGCTGTTGGGTTGTCATGTTGGATGGGGATGGGTGTGGCCAGACTATCCTGGGGTAAGTGGGACTTGTTCTGCAGGATGTGAGTGGTACTGGGGAGCTGGGGGGATTCCTGAGGCACAAATTTGCACCTTTTCCTGGTAAAATCCATGATAGCATTATGGAAAGTTACCGGCAACAGGAAGTTACAGTAGGAAGGGAAAAGGAAGGAATCCCAGAGGGTGATGACAGGGTGTGTTCCAGGCAACGGCATCGCCGCGCTGCGCTCCGTCCCCACTGCCATTTACTCCTTCCTGCGCTGCATGGACGCTGATCCTGACATTCCTGACCACTACAACGCCCTGCAGAGAACCATCATCTACTGCATCTCCCTGGGGGGGGACACGGACACCATCGCCACCATGGCAGGGGCCATCGCCGGGGCCTATTACGGGGAGGAGCAGGTGCCCCCGAGCTGGGAGCAGAGCTGTGAGGCTTTCCAGGAGACCCAGAGGATGGCCAAGAGCCTCTATGAACTCTACTGCCAGCGGCTCTGAGCTCTGGGGCAGCTCCAGGGCTTTCCTGAAGGTGAAGGGATGGTCACTTCTGCTTCACTGGTTAGACCTGGGGTGGATCTGTGCCATCAGCCTACACCAGTGAGCCTCACCTGGGAAGGGTGCCTGCTGCTGTCAGCTGGGAGCACGAGCCAGCTTGGGACAGAGGGGACATCCCCTTCAGTCTCAGATCAGCTGGGAAGCTTGGACAGTGGGTGCAGCTTCCCTGAGTGTACAGGAGTGTCTCATTTTCCATGGGATTTCTGCTGCTTGCTTTGTCCACCGTTGTGCCATTTGTCATTGCAGTTATTGGTGGGTGTCTGAATCCATGGACTTTCTCCCTGTTTTCCTCTGCTCCTGTGTCCGTGGGTTGTTTTGGTGATCAGTGGCTTGCCCAGTGGCTTTGGGAGGCTCCACACCCCGCATAAAGCAGCAGGTGACTCTCAGCTGGCCAGCTAGGGGACATCACAGGAGTCACCAGTGAGGCCTGGTGGCCCAGGTTGTCACCTCTGTGGTGTTAGGACAGCAGAGCACAGACTTCCTGGGGAAGTTTTTGCCCTAAAGGCAAAATGAGAATGGCCAGTGAAGGGAGAAGAGAGTTCTTTGCATTGCTGRTGGCTCTGTGAGAGACCTTTGTTGCCTGCAGATGGTCCCAGGCAACTAATTGCTGCTCCTCCTGTGTCCTTGGCCCTGTCATCCACGAGGTGCCCCCTTGCACAGCTGCTGTCACACTGCTGCAGCCACTCTGGCTGCTTCTGTGTTCCTAATCCATGCATCCTGTATTTTGAAGTCCTGTRTATGCCCAGAGCACCAAGTGAGATTCCTGCTTAAATCACAGAATGCCCTGAGTTGAAAGGAGCCCACAAGGATCATGAGAGTCCARCTCCCGTGGAGTGCAAATCCAGGAGTGGAGGTATTTTTAAAACCTGGTAGTGCACAGAGATAGAATTCCTGTTTCTGCTGCAATCAGTCACAAAAGTWACTTGAGCAGGATGCAGGAGTTAAYTTYTRCACARTCTAAACSTGTGTACTTGGTAAAAATTGCCCCAAAATTAAAGGGAAAGGTGGGTTAATTGAGGGCATCAGTGTTTAAAAGAAGCTGGTGTCGGTGGCCAAGAACATTCCAGCACAGCTGTGTTCCAGAATTTTACATTTAAAACCTTTYCCTAGTGGAGCTGGTCAAAAAGGGAGAAACAGCTTGGGAATGGCACATCTAGAAAGCGTTTTTAATAATTGAAAACAAAAGTCATCATATGGAAATGTTTATAAACTTGAATGTGACAGTGTAAGTCTTGTTATTTCTCCAGTATGTCTTGTGACACCGGGAAGTGGCCGTGGTGCTCCCCGGTGGTGTCGGCACGTGGTGGCTGCATCAGGCTGCATGCACATGTGGGAATCTGGCTGCCACAGCTCCTTCCAGTTTTCCCTCTAGTCTGCTTCCTTCCAGTGCCAGTCTTTTGTGTGATGCTTTAATGGATTTTCCTTGTGTAAATGGATTCTTGTCGTGGGAACATGCAGAATTTTGGTCTGTTGTATATTTTTGTATTGTGCTGCAGATCTGAGCTGTAAAATACCAGGTTTTCCACATTATTCTGCCAAAGGGGCAACCAGATTCATGGAATTATTTAAAAGAAGATTTTTTTTTCTTTTAAAGCAGCTTTATAATTTTAAATGTTTGGACCTCCTGACAAGCAGAGAGCTCCTATTTTAAGACTAGAGCTCTTTGGGCCAGAATTAAAATGTGTTCTAAACCCTTCAGTTTCCTTGGGAAGAAATAAAACCCCTCAGTTATCTCTGTTAATTAGCACTGCTCCTGTGTTTTCACTCAAGTCATGAAGTTGTGCATCCTCTGTGCCAAGAGCACCAGGAGTGGTTCTTGGTGCAAGGGTGACTTGACACCAAGCATTGCAGGAAGGGCCCTTGAAAGGCCCCTTGACCTTCTCAGCCTGTGGAAGGAATTCAGGTGTTGGAATCCAGCRTGTGAGGGTGGTGCAGAGACCATGGAATTTGCTGGGAGCCCCGTGTATGGCAGCAGGAGAATGRCTTTTTCCTTGGAATGAGCTTTTTGAAGGGGCCTGTGTGTCAACCAGGCTTCTCTGGAGGTGTTTTACATCTGCCAGGTGGGATCTTTTCATGTCTTTGAACTGTGAGCCTGGGAAGRTGCTTTGGTGCAGGTGATTGACCAGTCCTGAGTGTTCCTGACTTGCTCAGGATGGAGGTTGTCTGTGCTCAAGGTGTGTGACAAATAAAAAAAAAAACATGGAAAAAAACCACACAGAAGGGAAAGGAATCTTCACCTTGAGTTCCTCAATTAATTGCCAGGCTGCAAGTGTCTGGGTTTCAACCATTTTTGAAACTGAATTTCTGGAGACAGGAATATTTTCCTTAATCACAAGAAGCGTGCAGTAACTTTTTGCATAAGGATATTAATTAGTGAGGGGATCTGCTGGGAATGAGCAAGGAGATTTGGGGTGGAAATGGAGTGTAAGGGAACTATATGAGGCAGAGCAAGTCCCAGGACAAAGCACAGCTGAGCCCACCTCTATACAATAAGTTTTATTGATGTTTGTCAATACAATCAAGTACTGCAGTTTTAGTTGTGAAGAGCAGGTCAGTTTTGGGTCACAAAGAGTGCATTTTAAACCAACTTTTACTAGGACAGTGCATGTAATAAGTATTTACAAAACTAAAAACCTCTATATACTAGGTTAGAAATGGAGATACTAGAGGCAAATTAAAAAAAATAGTAAGAATTTGTATATAAAAATGCACACTGTAATGCAGTTTTCAGCATTAAAAATAGTCATACCTCATCCAACCCAACCTTTTTTATTCTTGTGATTGAAACCAAAATCCCACGCGCTCACACACACGACAGAAAATAATCCTTTCTGCTGGCTAATATGTACTCAGTATTCCAGAAAAAAAAAAATCCTTCTGGAGAGTGAACAGCCTCCCTCATCTTGTGCATCGTTTTTTTTTTTWTAGCCTAACTATGTGCGTGTAATATCTTCGCTTTCCATTAGTGTGTAAATGTAAGAGGTTAAATAGCTGCGAGGGGTGATTATGGGTTCGCTCTGCACGTGAAGGGAAAGTGAAATTGCAAAACAGTATCTACAGCACAAACTTRATCTGGGGGTGGGTACAGTGAGGAGTTTGGTTGTTGCTTTTTGCCAGCTTGAACAAGAAGTTTGGAACGAAACAGAACAGAAGAAGAAGAGATGGACTGTAGGTTAGGCACAGTATAAATAAGTTGCTTTGAGGAGCAGGATGAAGCTCCCACCAGGTGTGGCAGCTCCTGGCCCTGTCGGGTCACGCACACGGTGGGGCTGGACCAGCTCAAATCCCTCTGTTCTCCACAGGCAAGGAGACAGGTCCCTTCCCAGCACCCTCCCCTACCAAACCTGGGCTTGGAAATATCAGCTGAACTTCCACTTTTAATTTTAGGGACTGTTCCTGCTGGGGAATAACCTGTTAGGATCACAACCGAAATGGTCCTGACCCCACCCTGCCCTCAGTTAAAAACATCCAGTGGGATCAGACACCTTTCAGCTCAAGGAGTTTCATCTCTGCATGAAACTTGCAGCTTTAAGGAAAAAAAAATCCCAGGGAGAAGATCCCAGGGAGGGGASACACAGCCCCAACAGGCAGTGCCTGGAGCACTGGCATCACAACTGCAAATTTTCTTGTGTTTCTTTCTTTCTAGGATAGCTGAGTTTTTAAAAGGAAGGCCTGAATGGCAAGAGGCAGAAACACAGGACAGGCTTGAGGAGAAAACAACAAACAGAAATAGGAAAAGTTGTTTAAATATCTCATAGAGTCCATCTGGAGAACAAGCTCCGTCCCCATCTTGCTGCGTTTCTTGGCCATCAAATAGGCTTTAGGAAAATGCAAAGGTCAGAGCTGGTGATCAAATTGTTGCTATTTCTCAGGGATGTGCCTTTGCAGAGGGACATGCAGTGAGATATGCATATGGATTTGACTTCAGCAGCGTGCTCCTGGGATGAGCAGTATCCCTGTCCTGGAAGTGGCAATGACTGTTCTACTGTGAGAAAACCTGCAGAGGCACAGGATCTGTGTGAGCAGTGCCATCGTGCCTGCCCCAGAGCCCTGYAGCTCATGCTCAGGTCAGTAATGCTCCAAGCATTAGCGAGACAAAGTGGTAACAACAGGCAAATGTTGATTTCTTTAACCTAAGTCACAGAGTGGCCYGGGGCTGGTGCCCTGTCACAGGTACATATTGCACTACACTTGTGAGTAATGTTAATGGCTCATAGCACCGTGGTGAAATCACTGYGTGGAAAGTTAGAACCAGCACTATTTTTTCTTAATTCCAAGATCCCTGGTAAAAGGAGGGACACCAATGCAAGAGTTCACACATCCCAAAATAGTGAGACAGGAAAAGCAAGTTGTCCATCAGTGGCACTTCCTTGTGTCACASCAGCTGGCAGCACCGTGAGCTGGGCTCGCACTGCCATCCTGATGTGGGCAGAGATGCTYCTGAGGCCAAGCAAGTCTTTGGGCTGCAGAGACAGGACAGGACCAGCCCTTGGACTTCCCAGCAGGTGAATGGAGAGAGCAGATCGTTGTTCATCATGGGGGTCCCAGCTTCCCTCACTGCCTTTGGAATAGGTCGTGGCATCCTCCCAGGTACCAGTGCCTGCATGGTTTTATTCCTAAAGGTGCTGGGGGGGGAGGGTTAAAAATAATATTTACTTCTTAGAAGAAGGTGCTTATGCAAAGTGTTCCACTTTTTAGGATTATAAATCCAACCACACTGAATCTGGAGTGAATCGGAGAGACTGCCCCAAAGCACAGTCTGGAAAAGCAGGCGTCAGCAAGCCTGGGACTTGGGCATCTGATGGTTGGGAAGGAAATTTCTCAATCCAGCGTGGATCCCTGCTGCTGTACAGGTTGTGTAAGTGCCTGGGACCCTGCGTCGGTTACCAAACATGCCAGCCGTGACACAGCTGGATTTATTTATCTAGCATTCCAAAYGGGAAACGAGGGCACTTGATACAGAGCAGGAGGGTCTGTATCTGTATCTGACCCTCTCTGGATCACAGAGCCAGATCCTTGCCATCCCAAGCATGTTCCTGTGTTTGATGTCCAGTCACTGGGGTAAATTTACTCCAAATATGCTTTGCTGAGGAAGTTGCTCCCCTCCCTCCCTTCTCTYTCCTCCCAAAAAAAGAAAGATAGATGGATAGATGTCTCCTTCCAGATTACCCCTCTTGACTCATGGATCAAACAGCGTGAAGCAAGGTCCCACAACAATGGCTTGCTCATTCTTCCCAGTGATTTTTCTTTTTTGTATTAATTTTAAAACACTTTTTTAAAAAAAAAAAAAAAAAAAAAAAGACAGTTTATGGCTAAAGTGGGTGAAAAGGAAACGTGCCCAACAGCCGTTATGTGGGACAGAGCAGGAACCCAGAGAAGGAGGAGTGGATGTATTCCGTGGAGTACAGCCCATTGGCCTGGTCCGAGGGCATTTGTACCCAGACCTGGTCRTTCTCCTTGAGTTCAAGCACGGCACTGCCCGAGGCCTGGTCCAGGTACCCCTTTTTGTACTCATCGTAGGTGTAGGTGGCYGGCACGTTGTTCTTATATAGGGCCACCCAAACGTTGGTCCCTTTGACGTGCACGTGGTAGGCAAAGTAGTAGATTCCGGATACGGGGCAGGTGAAGATCCCGGTGACCGGGTTGTAGCCGTTGTGCCCGTTGTACAAGGTCCGGTCAAACTTGACGGGCATGCCGGATGCAGGGAAGGGGGAGGTGAGGATGGCGGTGAAGGCGGGTGCGATGCGGGCAGCAAGCTCTCCCCGGCCGTACTGGGGCTTGCCCGGCTTCCCGTTGCCCAGCACAGCCCCCTCCACGCCACCGTCCGGCAGGTGCAGCCCTGCGATGCCCGTCTCGTCCAGCACTCCTGGCGCTCCCGGTGGCCCGGGTGGCCCTGGTGGGCCTGGTGGCCCGTTCAGCCCCGGCGTTCCTGGCATTCCGGGCG